AGTCTGGCGTGGGGGAAGGCCCGCCCCTTCCTAACCTGCTGCTGTGGTGTTTGCTTTCCGAGCGGGCGTAGGGAGCTCTGGGCGAGCGAGCGAGCGGGGTGCGGTTCTTTCTCGCGGGAAACTCGTGTTGTCACAAGCCAGCCCGGCAAGGGAGGATGCCCCGTGTAACGGGTTGATCTTTGACGAGATCCCAGGCGTGCCCTCCTCCGTTTATTTATGGATGGTGAGATTGGCTCCCGGCGAGAATTGAGAGGATTATTTCCCACTCTTTAGGGTGGCGGGGGCGCCCCTCAGCTTTGACTGTCTAGCAGGGCTTGGGAAGTGGGTCTCCAAGGTGATCCGTCTTCACTCTGAAGCCCCTCCAGTGGGCGTTCTGATGTGGATCCAAGATGGGTTCATTTCAGTGCTGGCCACCTGTGGGAAGGAACCCCATTTCTCCACAACTCACTGATAGTAGGGACACACTCCCTCCCATTTATTTATTTATTTATTTATTGGTTTTTCGAGACAGGGTTTCTCTGTGTAGCTTTGGAGCCTATCCTGGCACTTGCTCTGGAGACCAGGCTGGCCTCGAACTCACAGAGATCCTCCTGCCTCTGCCTCCCGAGTTGCTGGGATTAAAGTCGTGTGCCACTAACGCCTGGCTATTTTTATTTTTTTTAAACAATTTAATTTTACTTTATGTACATTGATGTCTTGTCTGTATGAGGGCATCCGATCCCCTGGAACGGGAGTTACAGATAGCTATGAGCTGCCATGTGGGTTCTGGGAATTGAACCTGGGTCCTCTGGAAGAGAAACCAGTGTTCTTAACCGCTGAGCCTTCTCTCCAGCCCCCCCCCCTTTTTTTTAAAGTTCACAGCAGATTAAGCCTGTGAATAAATGTAGTTCCGGAGGCTGCAGTTAAAGGTCCCTGGAGGATAGAATGCTGCCAAGGGCCCTGGGAGTCGGGCTGTGGATGATAATGTCTTGGGGAGCTCAGGAAGTTATAGCAGCAAGTTTTCTAAGATGCGGGCCTAAAACGCTGGCCTTATTGGCTGTGGAGAGTACTTGGAGTGTGACAAGACCCAGAAGGCATCTGGAGTCTGCTGAAAGCTTAGTGCAGGCAGACAATCAGGAAAGCAGCACGGGCTGGTTTGCCCACCAGCTCAGCCTAACCACAGGGTCTGGTGAGCTGCTCCGTGGCACTGTTTGCTTTTCCAGTGCTCACAACTGTGTGGCAAGAGGCTAATATGTTGGACCGAGCAGAGAGAGCATGTCTTAGAACCACTTGGTGTATGGTTCCTGGTACAGTAGGTATCAGGATAAAGTTGGAGAAATGAAGGAGAACTCAGGTTCTGGCTTGAGCTTCGGAAGATGCAGTTCAGGAGTGGTGTGGCCTGGGGATGGGGTGAGGTGTCTGTCTGCGTATGCTGGGGGCAGGTTCCTGCATTCTCCCTTTGAGCTGCCAGTGCTTCTGAAACTGTCAGACTGTTGGTACCTGCCCCTAAAATGGCCTTAATCATTTTAGTCCCCAAACTGGAGGGCCCTGGAGATTTTGTTGTTTATTGTTTTTTTTCTAAAGATTTATTTGTTTTTTATTTCATGTATGTGTGTTTTGCCTGCATGTATGTCTACACACCACATGTGTGCAGTACCCTCTGAGGTCAGAGAGGGCATCAGAGATCCCTTAGAACTGGAGTTATAGATGGCTGTGAGCTTTCACACAGGGATTTGAATTGAGCTTGGGTCCTCTGGAAGAGCAGTAAGTGCTCTTAACAGCCAAGCCATTTCTCCATCCCTGGGGGTAGATTTTTGTCTACTGAGAAGTACAGCACTTACTGATGTCTCTTTCAGGCATTGAGAACCTTCCCTGTGAACTTCAGAGGAACTTCCAGCTGATGAGAGAGCTAGACCAGAGAACAGAAGGTGGGTATAGCCTAAGCTGAATTTTGACCATTGATCAGGGAGAGAGATAGTAAAGGGCATGGGATGTCAGAGAGCTACAAGGGGCCTGGTAGAGCACAGGATTTGCATTGCACAATGTCTTGGAGGCAGTGCTGGTACTTTTTGTCATGGTTGCTTTTTGTGTTTCTCTGTAGCCCTTGCTGTCCTGGAGCTCACTTTGTAGACAGGTTGTCCTCAAACTCACAGAGATCCACCTGCCCCTCCTTCCTGAGTGCAAGGACTAAAGGCATACACCACTGTCTGTCTGACTTGGTACTTTTTGTTGCTGTTGTTTTTGTTTTTTTGAGACAGGGTTTCTTTGTGGTTTTGGAGCCTATCCTGGCACTTGCTCTGTAGACCAGGCTGGCCTCAAAACTCACAGAGATCTGCCTGTCTCTGCCTTCCAAGTGCTGGGATTAAAGGCTCTTGTTTTGTTTTTGTTTTTGTTTTTGAGACAAGGTCTTACTATGTGTAGCCTTGGCTGGCTTGGAACTGGCTGTGTAGACTAGGCTGGTCCAAAACTCATAGGGATCCACCTGCATCTGCCTCCTGAATGCTGGGTTATGAGGTGTGTATCATGATGCCCATCTCGGACACTTATTTATTTACTTGTTTATTTTGAGACAGGGTTTTGTTCTGTAGCCTAAGCTGGCCCTGAACTCCCAGTATAGCCCTCTGAGTGTAGGGGTAGGGAGGAGAATGCTGCTGCTTTTTTTTTTTTTTTTTTTTTTTTTTTTTTTTTTTTTTTT